TGAGATTAAGAATTGTTACCAGAATTGTTTTGCAGTTTCAATTAATCTTTAACCAATGGCAACTTTTAATAGTTCAAAGTTTATATTTACGCATTTTTGTTCATTTATGTAATAATATATCATTGTGCAACAGAATTTCAATTTTTTTTTTTTATTTCTAGGATCGCATATTGTAATTCTTACAGGACTTTTGACGCTGAACACGAATCCGAACTTAAAATTGCTCCATCACTCTAGGTTATCGAGAAATTTGACCTTCAAAATTGAAAAAAAAAATTTTTAAGTAATTTTTGATTTTTTATAACGGTACAAAATTGTTTTTGAAGTTTTCGTGATATGCATCTGAAATTTTTTTTGAAATTTCCGTTTGAAAAAATTGATAGGTTTCGTTGAAACTTTTCTCTCGGAGGTTTCCAGGGTCAGTAACACAGGTCGTACAAGGTTTTTTATTTTAGATATCAGAGTGATTTCCAATGTATTTTTGTATGCTGAACACGATTTCGGGTTTCAAAATTGCGTATCACGTTAGGATTTTGAAAAAAATAGGGATAAATACCCCAAAAAAAAATGTTTTTGAGGGTTTTCAGTATTTTCTTCTTCTTAACCTGACGAACTAGAGACTTAAATTAAATTTTGAATAGTATACTTTAAGACACTTATAGTCAAGATAAAAAAATGTCAAATTTGGAAAAAATGTGGATAAAAACCCCAAAAATCTTTTTTGCCTTTACCCACATTTTTTCCAAATTTTTAATTTTTTCTAATCTTGCATATATGGGTCTTAAAGTGTACTATTAAGCTTTAATTTAAGCTCACCATATAGAATTATCTATTAAGTCGGGTTAAAGAGAAAAAAATACTGAAAAACCTCAAAAACATGTTTTTTGGGGTATTTATCCCTACTTTTTTCAAAATCCTGACGTGATACACAATTTTGGAATCCGTTATCGCGTGTTCAGCATACAAAAATACATTGAGAACCACTATGATATTTAAAAAAAAAAACCTTGTAGACCTTCGTTACCGACCCTGGAATTTCCAGGCCGAAATTCGGGTAAAAGTAATATCTAAAAAAACGTGGAAAAAAATGAGTAAAATTCATTAAAAAATTTCATACAAAAAAATGTTTCAAAACGACACACGAATTACAATCGAAATTTAGTGCGAAATTTGCACGAAAAGCTTATGAATCATATTCACCAGCACCGAAAAAACGAAGTTGTAAATTTATGAATTTGGCGTCTTTTTAAGAATTTTTTTAATTTTTATTCTCACAGTTAGTATATAATAAATATTAAATGAGAATAATATTCTTAAAAGAAGAATTTTTCTTAAAAAAATTATTTCACATTATATTCTACAACTGTAAGAATAAAATAAATGGTAAATATTCTTAAATAGGTGCCAAGAAGTTATTCTTAAAATTTAGAGTTTTATTTCTTTCGGTGTTGAAATAGGGTCCGACTACTGCAGTTAGTATGATTTTTCATTAAATTGTTAATATTTAATTAAATGTTAAATATATTATTAAATATTAAAATTATTATTTTAAAACAAGAATTAAATAAGATCGTATATCCTTAAGTGTTCGACTACTCTCGCTTTCACCCTATATATTTTTATATTCTAATAATTTAAAATAATTGTTTTTAAACGAAAAACGATAGTATTAAATTACATACTTTTATGTTTAAGTCAAAATTTCTCAACTGTATCCACCCCCTTAAAAAAAATGTTTCATCAACGAGTCGATACTTGCCTGAATTATAGTCCTACTGGGTTTTTATACAACAATCAAAACGATTTATCCAAATAGCGACGGGTTGTCAAGATACAGGGGCTCGAAAATTGGACTCCCATGCGCTACTTCTTAACTTCTTGTTAACATAATTTTTATACAACTTATCCAATCAAACTTTTATTATATGGCTTTAAAAATGTTTTATTCCTCTACTTTAAGAATATAAAACAGATATTTAAAAAAAATCGTTTTTTCTTCAAATATAAGAAAAATGAATTAAATTTCTTCCCTTGAGACTTTTTAAAATTCTTTGTTTTTATCTCAAAGAAATTGTATTTTTTATGTATTTCAAAAATTAACAGAAAATGGGATTTGCACATTCACACGAAAAAAAAGTAGAATTTTTACCCCAAAATCGGTATAAAAATTACCTGCAACAAATTTTATCCTAGTTGAGGGCGCCACCGTCTATGTGAATTAGCATTGGTGAAAATTACCCGCAACAAAATTTACCCAGCGTTTTTTCTGTGTTTTCATTGTTAAATTTAACAATATGAAGTTTATGAAGTAAAAAACATCAAAATTTGACTTTGAAAATGTGTATACATATTTCATTTCTGTGTGATTTTAAAGTAAATATAAAAAATGCTATTTTTTGAAATAAAAATAACAAAATTCTATAAGAAACTTAAGATTTAGAGGCAGTACAGGATGAGATTCTAAATTTCGAGCCCCTGTATATCTTGATAACTCATCGCTATTGGGTCAAATCGTTATGCTTGTTGAATGTAGGACTATAATTATTTAAGAAAAGAAATATTGTTGAGGTGGATGCAGTTGAGAAATTTTGCCCCATTAATAATTTAAAGAAAAATTCTAAATATTTCCGTTTTAAGACAGAATAAGTATATCAAATTCTAAACTCCAGACCTAGAATCGACTTTAAGGCGCAAAAAAAGTCGTTTTAGTCTATTTACATTAAAAAAAAGTCGATTTTTTTATTTTAATTAAATTTAATTAGTTGTTAATAAGTATTTTACTTTAAATAATTACTATATATATATACTTTTTTTTTATTTGCACGAATTAACAAGCCCACGGTAAAAACCATTAAAGGGCGCACTACAGATAGAAAATTACAATGTAAAACAAAAAAAATGAAAACGTGTTCTTAACGAACTAAAAAATTATAATTTCCAAAAGAAAAAAAAGAAAATTGTAGATCTAAGAAATAAATAGATCTACACTAAGTATATCGGTATCGTAGATATAAATATTATGTAATGTTACGGTATATATAAAACTTAGATTCGTGAAATACAAAAATTAAGTAACCATAATATAAAATAATATAAAGAAAAACTAATAAGGAAAACATTGTGTTGTGTTAAATTTCTCGATCTATCTGGTCGAATTAAAAATTTTCAAAAACAATGCGAAAAATCAGTTTTTCGGACAAAAAAGATAAAATTTACACTGTAAAAATTTTTTTGGTTAAAAAACGTATTTCCGAATTTTTGAAAAAGTGACATAAAAAAATTATGTAGATATTTTTGGAAATCCTTGTGTCTGATTTTAGATATTGATGACTGCAATAAGCCTACATTTCAGGACAATCCATCAAAGCGTGTTGGAGATAATTTGTACACAAGATTTTGTGACATACACACACATACATCCAGACATTTGTTTAAAACTTCAAATATATGCATTCTAGATACAAATAAGACCATATAACCCATTTTTAAAAAATCGAAAATCGTCACGAGTACATACAAAGCTTTTTTGGGAGGAGAGGAAGCAATAATTGAATTCAAGTGATTTTAAATTGAAATTTTTGGTGATTTCTGTTGATGAAGAATTTATTAGAAATCACAGACAAAAATTGAATTTAAAAAGTTTTTAATTTAAAAATGCTTTCAGAAAAACTGATTTTTCGAAGAATTTGATAAAGAACATTAAAAATAATTGAATTTCGAAAGAGTTATAATTAAATTTATTAAATTTCAAAAAGTTTTTAGATGGAAAATTTTAAAAGGTTTTAAATCGAGTTTTAAATTAAAATTTTGGTAATTTTATTTGATTTTTAAAAAATTTTAAACAATTGTTAAATAATTGAAAATTGAAAAATAATTTAAGATAGGTAATTGAATTTTAAAAAATTTCATTAAAATCATTAAAAATAATCAATTTAGAGAAAAATTTGTTAAATAATTAAAATAAATGAGATCTGAATTCTATATATACTAAAAAAGACGTATTTTGTTTAAAAATGTGAAAAAAGTCGCATCTTATTAAAATAAGTTGAAAAAAGTCGTATAATCCAAAGTCTGAAACTCTCAACAAAATATTTAAATACGTACCTACATAATTTATAAAAACCCTTAAAGCACTGCATTAATATATTTATTATTAGATCGCCTATTTAAAAGAATTGCTAAAAATATCGAATAACTCACTAAATTTCAAGCCGTGAAGTAAAATTACATACACAAATGCGTCATAAATGTAACAGTATCGCATATTATACGTATACCTTTAATTAAATATTCTTATAGAGAATTTATAATTATACTTAAGCCTGCACAATAAGTGCCATAAGAAAAAAAATTTTCTTGAAACAAAGAAATTTTTCTCTAAACTAATGAAAAAAATTTTTTTTTTTTCCAATAAAAAATCATGTTTTTTAAATTAAAAAATATTTTATTCCTCTAATTTCTCATGATATAGAGCGGGATAATTTTAACTTCGTTTTCAAAACACTAAAGTAAATTTGAAACGAGTGCAAGGGGTTGCATTCATGTGGTGTGTAAGTAACGAAATTATCCAATTCGTTACATTAGAGAGGAGCCACCGCAATTTCGACAAGTGTTAATGTAACAAGTGTCCAACTAACAGGAAGGGTTTTCGATTTTTTTTTCATGCTCTCGTAGTTACTAACTCATATTCCCCTCTGTGAAGGAAAAAAGGACAAGGGATTAAAGTCAAAGAAAGATTTATTGCAGGACATTTGACCCAGTCTCATCTCACTCCTGAAGGCATAGACCCGTTAAGTGCCGAATTGAGGAGAATCCTACGTTACGGCACGTTCGTGACCTGACTCGAATAACAAACATGGCAAATTCACCTCAAAGTCGATGAAAACGTGACTATTCTTTAAAGCATAAATTTTCCAAGGGACAATAGAGAAAGAGAGAGAGAGAAGAACGCAGGGTTCATTAAATGACTGAATAAACATAAATTGGAATCAGAGAGCAACAGTCCCCCAGTGTATACGTTCCTGTCTGCGCTTCCTCCCCCTTTTCTTTCTTCCTCAGTGGAACGGTATATCCTCTTCTCTATTCCACTCTGTACGCTCTACGAGAGGACTGCATGCCTCGGTCATCGGTCAGTTTCAAGCGTTCTGGCTCATAGCATTGTGTGTATACTTTTGTAGTTTTCGTTTACGTTTCTCGTAAGGAAGAGAAAGAGTGAGAGAGCATGGCATTGGCCTTACGGAAGAGTGTGAGAGTAAATTCAGTGGGTGGAGATGCTTGAAGAAGGCAGAAAGGAAGCGAGAGCAGTTTGCGAGAACGGGATAGAAAATTTGGTTGCCTGGCGACCAGCCAGCCATCTAGTTCGATCCCAGGCAACCGAGCAGCCACCCTTTGCAAGGAGCAGAAACAGTTGTCGTTAGAACTGTCAGAAGAGTGGTTATTTTCTTTCTCAATTCGAAAATAGAAATTTTTATTTAGTCTCTCGACGAATTTAACAAGAATGGAGTACTTTCAATTCATTGTGTGTTCTATAATGTTCGTCTTGTAAAACTTTTCTCCCAGTGGTATTTTGAAAAAACCTTGACAGTGATTAGGATGAGAGAGAGATCAAGATGATGATGATGAACGAAAGACAGAGTATTTAGAGACGCTATTTCAAAGTGAATCCAATAATTGAATAATGCAATGGGAGCAACAACTTCAGTGAGCTGAAAAATGTCTGAATGCAGTAGACCATCGGATGCACCCATTTTCCTGGCCTGTTGATATGTAACGTGCGCGCGAAATTTTCATCTATTCGCGAATAGTTGAGAAGAAATCCGGTTTTCTCTTGCAGCATCCGCTTGTTAAATGTGTTCTCTTTGTTGTGCTTCTCTTAGAGATTAAAACGCAATCATGTTCCAGTGTATTATCCAGCAAAGGAATGGCTGGATTCATCCGGCTAGTCCTGATACCAAGGACGTCTTTCCAGGTATAGCTTATCAACCAACAGTATAGATATACCTCTATCATTGCAAATGTCAGACAGAAATTATTATTATTTTGTCGGCAAAATTTAACTTGCGAGCATGATAATAGTAATAGATTACACATAAAAGTTTTCGAAAAATTCTTCTGTTATAGAAATAACAACTAATTGTTTTGATTTGTCGCGATAGAACATATAATGTTAAAATTGCTCCTATTCCTTTTTTTTTAAAGAAAACTGACTTAATTTTTAAAAAGCTTATATTCTGTAAATATGTATAAGGTTTTATTTAAAAATTTATACCTAAAAATCTTATTCTATCAAAAGCTGTTGTAATAATTTTCGACAGGTTTTTGGATAAGAACTGTTCCTAATCCGATTATTTTGGATTTAGAATAAATGTTATAATTCTTACATCCAAGTCTAAATTAAAAATGCAAAAAACAATTTTGTGCCTAATTAAAATTTTTAATCAAGTTTAAATTGAAAAACATCTCTACACCAAGTTTGAAATTCATTACAATGAGTTTTTAATTGATCCTTAAATTTTTTAATCCACTATTTTGAATTTGAAATTTACAATTTGTTTTATAACGGAAAAATCTTAATTATCGAAATCTTATAAACATTTCTATACAAAATTTTAATCAAGACGATTACAACTATTGAATTTTTAATTTTTTTCACCAAAAACAATTTTCTTATTGTGACGACATATATGTTGACAAAATTTTCATTTCATTTTACCAAATTAAAATAAAAAAGATAAATTAAGCTTGGATTCTATACAGAAAAAACTGTAAACTGAAATTAAGAATATATTCGTGGCGCATATTTAAGAATATTTTATACTTAAACTAAGTATATATTATTCTTAAAATAAGAATATATACTTAATTTATATATATATAAAATATTCTTAAATATGCGCCACGAATATATTCTTAATTTCAGTTTACGGCTTTTTCTGTGTACTTCGCAAATTTTATGACAAGATGGTTTTATTTGTTTTAGAACTTAGAACTTTAAATTTCAAAACATTTTTCTAAAATATAAAAAATGATTAGAAAATTAGGGAAAATAGATTTAGAAATTTATTTTTAGAAAAATTGTATTAGGAACGTGTATATTTTCGGAAGTATATTTATTAAAAAAAATTCTAAAATTAGAAAAATGAAATTAGGAAATCGGCAGGGAATCGCAAAATTTCTTTGTGAAAATTTCCTGCGACAAAGTTTTGATTATATTATAAAAAATTTATTTCCAAAGTTTGAAATTTATCTGCTGATAATCAAATAATCTATTGGGAACGAGGGGCTGTTCACTCTCGAATATGTAATCTCTTGATTCTGAATATATTGTATTTTAATTGGAGATTACCGACGATTATTGAAAAGGACGTTCGAATTTGTCGAATACTATGCGAATCCAAACGAATCTCGTCGATTCCAGTAAAATTCTAAATCATGCAGTAAGAATTGTTGCGAGTCACGAATGGTTACGGAGACATACGAGCGAATTCGGCGGCGAATTATACAATTAATCTATTTTTCTTGCAATCTTACTCTTGCAAGTAATTACTTCAAATAAAATGAAAGCACTATTTCCCTTAATTTCAAAATAGGAATTACAAAAATGACTAGCAATCCTTAAAAATCTTTAATGAATTCTCAAATATTGTTCAATTGGATTTTCAGTGAACAGCCCCTCGATTGGGAAAATAGCATAAAACAGTATTTTCTAACTAAATAATCTTAAAGCACAACAAACTTTTTACCATGTGGTGTGACTAACTCTCTACAGCCTCTGATAGGCCAACGTGACATCTTGGCTGCTGTTACAATCTACAATCTGATAAATTCTTTGTTTCCCAACGGATTCCTTTCAAACTTTCGGTAGAAACTTCTTTAAAAAGAAAAGGCAAAAATTTTATTTTTAGAATACAGTCTTTACACAGTAGGTATAAAGTTCCTTTCTTAACTTTTAAATCTAAAAATTTAATAACTCTCATATATTGAGTATCCAAATATTAATTTTAATAGTATTAGGCCAATGTATCAAAACATTATAGATACAATTTATCTTCTGTCTATATGATAATTAAAATTATTTTATTTTCTGATATTTTTGACTATTTTTGATGAAAACATCCAACGCTTATTTTGAGTTAATATTTTGATGAGACTGGGTCTACTAGACCCATGGTGTTAAGGGTTAAGAAATGATTGTTAAATTTTAGATTGTATCGTCTCCTATTGAGAGATCATAAGTTTTATTAAAGTACAACTTCTAATGGTTCAAAATGTTAAAAAATTAAATTGCTTACACTTTCACTGAAACACTTTCATATAGTCTAAATTGTACTAAAAATTTCTTTAATTAGCATTAATTTGAACACAATAATTCAAGAATGTAATTTTCACAAGAAAAAAACCTGTAACTTTAAAAAACTATAATTTCTTATACTTTAAGATAGCTGTACTAGTCCATTTAACTTTTGATAGAATGATCTTATTCTATACGTAAAAATACATCATATCAAATTTTATATCACTTTAGGTCAAACTGTCTAAACCCTAATAGAAAATAAGTTATATTTTCTTAGATATACATGGTGATTTTTATGTTACGGACCCCATAAAAAATTTTTTTTTCGTTTTTTAAACAAAAAAAGTGGAATTAAAAAATTTTTTAGTGAGTACGAAATATAAAAATCACCCTGTATAATACATTTGTTGTATACGTACTATATAAATGCATTGCATTAAGTTTATTATCAGAACTAAGCAATGATGTCAGAGATTCAGCTAATTTGGACAGAAAACCATTTTCCTCTACATTTGACGCGGAGTCCCTTGGCAGCAGTACAGTAAAATAATTTGGCAGCTCTTGCACAATTTTCAGTAAAACATTTTTTTCTCTTGGTTTAAATTTCGTAAACACCTATAGCACAAATTACTTTTTTGAGAGATGACTTTGATCAGAATAAACTGTTGAAAGTATATATGTATATATAATTTCAGAGAACTATATATGGTTAAGAATTTTGTTTATTTTGAAAAAGGATTTTAAAATTCGAGAAAGATTCCTTATTGGTTGCCATTACATAAAAATTTTAAGACTTCGGGCATGTAATAAAACCCCTAATTTTTATTACATTTGACTCTATTATTATTTTTAAATTTAATTATCATTTTACGACTTTGACTGGACCCATACTGTTTTCCTTTATGTTTCAAAATATTTTATTTAGTTATTTATGTAAAGAAACTAAACATTTTTTCTAAAAATGAAAGAATTGTTGAATAAAAAAAAAAGAAGACAACTAGAATTATTTCCGTACACCTAAAGGAAGCCATGTTTGCACGTATATATTTTAATACTATTCAATGTAGTGACACACATCAACATAGGCTTAAACGTAGCCTATATAGAAAAGTACTTGTTTTTATCTTTTGAAGAGAAAACATGAGTTACAAACAATCGATATAGAAACAATACTTATAAATAACCAATATATTGATATATACAAATAATTAGTAGGAATAAGTAAAATTTTTTATTGTCACTAGAAAATATATAATATTTGTGTCCTAAATTTTATATATATTTTGTTTCTTTATTTACTTTTATTTTTTTATTTATGTTTTTATATTTTATCATTCTCATTCATTTTTTTTGTATTTTGAAAAATTAATAAACGTATGAGAAAAGTATTTTACTAAATAAATATATGATAAAAATGATATAATTTTATTTTAAAAAAACTGGTTATTGCGTTTTGTTCAGAAAAATATATATTACTTGAAAAATAGGTTTTACATTTATATATTTTTGCATACAATTTTGTTACATGGAAATATTAACACCAACCATTTTTGATAGATAATAAACCAGGATGTCTAACGATCAGGAAAGTCAGGGAAATGTCAGAGAATTTCAGAAAATTTCATTCAAAGTCAGGGAAATTTCTGTAAATTTCTACAAAAATTAAAATTTTTTGGAAATTAAAAAATTTTTTTATCTAAAAAAACTTGAATGGTTTTTATTACCATTTGTTACTACCATTAGAAATTAATTTATTGTTAAATATGTCAGTAACCATATTTTTGTCCAAAAAAAGCAGAAATAATAAAAATAAATAAATAAATAATATTAACCTTATTAAAAAGTCAGGGAAAAGTCAGAGAATTTTTTTCTCAATCCTTGTTAGACACCTCGAAAACTTAAAGCTCTTACAATTAAAACATGGTTTTTCTAAAGGTATTAATTTGGCTTGCAACGTTTTGATACTCACACAGAAAAAAGTTGGACTCATATATTTGTTGCATCTCAAAATGAGTTCATGTTAAATGACATAGAACGTGGCGCCATCTGCCTGTCTCATTTTTGATGCGTATAAAATTGAGTACAAATTTTGTACTCAATTTGAGATTAGATTTTTTCTGTGCATAAGTGGTGCACAACTTGATTCGCATTATTTAGATAATTCAGGCCTCGGATTATACGACTTTTTTTTCGAAATTACGAATTTGGATGTTTTACTGTAAATTGTAGATACATAGTAATTTACATTCCGAACTCTTGTGACTGCATGTTATTTATTGATTGATTGTGGTTTCAATACAATCATTTGGATTAAAAAAATAATTTTAAATATTAAAAAATTTGCGAATTGTAAACTCACCTTTAATATGTTGTGACAACCATCAACATTTTTTTTTATTTTAGGTATCAAAAAATGATCCCAATTTTCGTATATATATATATATATAATTTCCAAAAATGATCCAAATAATGCGGATCAAATTAATAACACCTATGTGTATCAAAATGTTGCACATCGATAATTTGATCCAAAAGGATCAAATTAATATACCTTTAGGAAAACTACAGGCAGAAAAGTGTCCGTACTGAGGACTTTGTGCAAATTAGTTTGTTTACAAAAAGCGAATGAATCAAAACAATTCGATATTGTAAATATATAAAGGTTGTTTGGAGTA